GTTATCTTGTTATAGATATAGCTGAATAATTCGGACACTCATCTGATAAGTTAGTTAAGTACTTAATTAATCCTTTGTAAAGTTTATTAGTATTTTCTTTCACTTGTCTTATTAACTTCTTTATGGTACAACTAAACGTTGTAACTTTTAAACGGTATTCGTTAATCGTGATGTCTTTCAAAAACAAGACATCTATTAAAATTTAATTAGTCCGACAGTTAGATAATGACAAAATTGTCATAATTAAATTTACTTAATTTTATTAACAAACGTATTTTTTTATAAATTTAGGAATGGAAGTGAAGACCCTCCATTCGTATATTTATTTCACGATATTACAAGAAAAAGAAAAAAAATGTTTTAAATTAATCTACCAGACGGACCTTAAAATATAGTTCAACACGTTAAATGCCATGGGGGTCACCGGTGACCGGCGTTAGCGGAGGATTTACCTTAATCCAGTTTTTTATTGGCAATCAAAGTCTTAAGAAACTGTGTTATTATGATTATCTTATAATATTGAACTAAAGGGGCCGAGACAATTTTTCCTTAATACATGTAGTAGTAGTGATTGTGCAAAGGTTAGAATTTCTACCCCTTGCCCGGTATGTGACGATAGGCTCGCTCTCTCGCATTGGACTGATAACATAACTAGTGATACGAATTACAATGTATCTGTGGATATAGGTCCACATAGTCATAAGCCTATTCCTTCACGTATTTAAAGTTACAGTATTTTATGTGTTACTAGCTTTTACCCGCGGCTCCGCTCGCGTCACAAAAGGAGAAAACGTAGTCTATGTGACATATACCAATACATACAGCGCCATCTATACCAATACTTTTGTTTTCCCTCGGGAATATCAAATTTTTTCGGGATAAAAACTACCCTATTATTTAATCCAGACTACTAACTTTATGTCTGCAAAAATTCAATGCAATCGGTTTAGTAGTTACGGCGTGAAGTCGGAACAAACAAACAAACAAACAAACAAACTCACTTTCCCATTTATAATAGTAAGGATGTTTATTTGTTTCAGAACCAGTTTATTTCGTATGTCTCCCAGTCTACTAAACTTCGTCAGCTCCAGATACAGGCATGAGGTCAAGTTTACGCCATACGTGCGTCCACCAATTATGGACCATGATCGTAAGAACATGATGCTGAAACGACCGATGTCGCCACATTTGACAGTGTACGCGCCGACCATACCAGCTATGACTTCGATAGCCCAAAGAGCTACAGGTAACTGATAATTCTTGATATCTGGTCTTAGAATATCCATGTTTTGTTGTTGCGATGAGATCCCTTTCATATAATTAAGTGAAGATCATACACAATGACAAAAAATGTATTTAAATGAAACAGGAAAAATACGGGAGACATAAATTGAAATGGCTCACCTCTGAACGGGTGAGGGCGTGCAACCCTCCCTTGCAGGGCTTTATGTCAATGATATTTATGTCCACATGTGCGTACAATACGTCGTTCAAAAAGTCAAACGATATTGGTCAAATCTGAAATTCGTCAAAGCGGTAATTTGCTAAATTTGATATTGGGCAAAGATGCAGTTCGTGATATCGTTCGTTTCTCGATCAAATATTGAGGCTGCCATGTTCCTTTTAGGAAAAAACAAACTATTGAAATAGATTTAGAAAGTGATACTCATATATGCTTATTACAAAACATATTGCGTGCTTAACTTAGAATCTACTTAATGTTATAGATATAATTAAAACCAACAAAGACAAGAATGAAATGCCTTCTAAATGGCTAAGTCAATAGTGAACGTGACTGTTATAATTATTTGCAAGAACCCTGCAATAAGTAACTAGTACTGGCATGGAAGTTCTTGGTATTACAGCAGGGATCGTGCCGTCTCCAGAGACAAAGTGATTTTATTCCCTAAGGACCCCATTTCATTAGGATGCCATGATAGCATGATCGATTGTGCAACTGTGTTGTTCAGAGTTATAAAACGAAAGACGGTTAACATCATGTTTAGGGCTACGGAATGAAATATCCCAAAACACGAATACTAGGGTTGTCAGTGTCAAAAGAAATGTTGAAAAGTTAATAGTTATTTTGCTATACCTACGACGCCAAATAACATCAATCTCTCACTTTGTTCGCGTAACTGTTTGCGGAATGAGTGGGGTGCCAAAAATATGTTTTTAGACCAGTGGGTTATGCAACCAAAGTGAGATAGCCTCTACCCGACTGTGTACATATTGTTGATTGCGCGACTGGTCGCACGATCACTATGGTCTAATGGAATAGGGCTCTAGCCAACATTACATTTAATACTTTGTTACACAGTGCAGTGTTGTGGGGTGCAAAGCTTTTTAATTGAAAGTATGGACGGAGCATGAGTCCTGGCTTTTTATGGGTCATGTTTTTAAAAAGTACATAAAGTAAATGTTCGTTGGTAAAATTCTCGTACGCTCTAATATTTCGGAACGCGATTAATATGGTGGTTGAGGAAATTATTGCTAAAAATTGCTCTTCTCAAGGTTTTTGTCTAGTGGCTATATGATCCAGTGGGTTCTAGATTAAACACATTTCCTTGCTAAGCCTCACACCCGCCGCATACTTGCACTCGTTCATGCATTTGGTGGGTATGTTTGTGTACGCAATTGGTCACAGTCAGTGTCTCCACCATTCGTAGACAAAAACTGCGTGCGCGGCGGACTTGCACGTGGTGTAAAGAGCATGGTGGACATACTATTTCTTTGGACTTTTGTTCCAAGGGATAACCACATATTAATTGGTCTGAGCGGTTTCAAAGAGAGATATTGTTTATTAAAGACGAGAACTTGAATCATGTTGGTTTTCATCTCGACTCTTCAATTCTCGACTCGGCTAAAACATTGACCACATATTACATATACAAGCATATTTATGAACAAAATTGTTAGGAGGCATCTTTGAGAAAAAGATTGCATCAAACAAGTTGCAAAAAGGAGAATCAAGCACGTGGGCCTAAGGGATCCAGCTCAAATAGGTTGGATTAAGGACAGCGCTACCCTCAATACTCCAGAAATGGGAGCATTTCGATGGAAATGATAGTAACAAGGCGGTCTAACACTTACTTAGGACAGCTTAAGATTAAGCCGTCGTGGCAGACTTTGTCGAATGTCGAAACCACGTTAAAGAAGTGAAAGTCGAGATTACTATGTTTGACGATGTGTAGTTAATGGGAGCAGGACTATTTGGCTGGAATACTACATTTCTCGCCGGAGTCAGACTTTCAACATAATACATGTTGTTTTTGAGTGTCATACCTTTCGTATATTTAAAGGAGAGTATTCAAAGGGCGTGAGGTATAAACAAAGTTCGGCTCTCTTAGTCGATGTTAATAATGGTTGGTAAATCTCTAGAAATAACGTTTCAGAATAATACAAACCTTTCTGTTTTGGTTACGACTGTCTGCTCACAGGGACTCTAAAGGGTTGGTTAAATATTTTGAAGTACTACCATTTGCCGTGGACTCAGGTTATGAATGTATGTACACATTCTCTGCCTCTCTGAGCTCAAAGCAAGGACCTTGGCTTCGTCATACGAGACATAATTAAATTTATTATCAAACCATGTTAAAGTTAGGCAAACAACTTAACGATGCGGAAAATTTCAGTCCTTGAAATTCTAACTTGAAAGGAAATATGTGGAGGTGTAGCAATATGGTTCAGTATTTGAACTAGCTTTCATATAAGCGTAATTAAGTAATTGAAATGTTTTGTTCATATGTTTTAGATAATATCAAACTAAATATTTATGAACCTTTCTATTATATTTATGAATCTTTATGCAGTTTTTTCTAATACTTGCATTTGATTAAAAACAAACATCGGTAGAGATGTTCGTGGAAACGTTAATTTCCATATTTCTTTGGTAGTGTTCGTTCATTTATTGAAGCTGAAATTCCACGTAAATGAATTTGCGCTTAGTCAACTTGTTTCTAGTTCTACTGCAGTTTTCGTATTTAATGGACTCAGTTGCTTGGAAAGTGACCAAAGCAAGACGTATAGGTTGGTATATTAAATCGAAATAAAGGGCGGAACAGGATTGGTTTTTTAATATGTTTGTAGGCACATAACACCTTTATGACCAATTATGACCTATTATAATAAGTGTTGATGAAATTAATAGTTGTAGATTATACTTCAAAATAAATATTTCGACAGGGTAAAATTAAAGAGAACAATAGATTGTTGCAAATGTGTATGAAAACTATAAAGGTAATTTAGTAACTGGTAAAAGAGGTGCATTTTATGAACGCTGATGCAATTCAATTTAGTCATCATGTTATGAGTTTTATACACTAAGTTGTCGAGTGTGTGTCCCGAATGTTTTTATAAATTGAGTTTTTTCTACCCTCAGATGAGGATGGCCGTAAAGAAGTAGTTTCTAACAAACCACACAGTGAATAAAACTCTTAGCATTAGATTGTTTATGTAAGTATATTCAATTCTTTTGTAACATATTTATGTTTGATCAGATGCGCTAAGTTTTAACATTGTAAAACTTATGGTGTGTAGGAATGTTTTTCCGTCGCGGTTTTTCACCAATATTTATTGTTGTATAATGCACGTTCTCTGTTTGATCTATGGGTATGTACTATGTACCTATGCATGTTTATTCGCGATTTTGATGCGGTTTTTAGAAAAGCGTTTGTTAGACTTTGGAGAAGGTTATGGTATATTAATTAGGTAACCGGCTTTAAAAAAGGAGGAGTTTGAGATCGGTTTCCTAAACATAGTTTATGAAAGAAATATTATACATCATCATCATCATCAACAGCCTATAAATGTCCACTGATGAGCAAAGCTCTCACAAGGAGAAGGTTTGAGCATTAATCACCACGCTTGCTCAATGCGGGTTGGCGATTACAAAATTATAATTAGATATTATAAACCCGGGTTTCCTCACAATGTTTTCCTTCACCGTTTTCAGTAGAGCCTAGATAATCTTAGAAAGTACATATGACACGGTAAAGGTTACATTAGTACTTGCCGTTGCTAGGTTTCGAACCCGCACCCGCATGCATGATAAGTGGGCATCTTAAACCTCCGGGCCACCACAACACTCCGGGCCACCACAAAATCTATATTTTAACTACAAGTTCCATATTACGGAAATTAATAAACCGAATTGATTGAAACTAGTAAGCGTATTTTTTATCTCATACATATTAGTGATTAGAATGTTCCTGCTATTGTTACAAACAAAACTATTACAGCATTACAATCATCCCCAAAAACGTTTAACTGAATTGTACGGGCTATACTGAGCCAGTTACGAAACAAATTTAAAAAGAATTGCTCCAAAATTATTACAACAACTGCTAGTAAGATAATGTTAATATGTTCACAATAGAAATATATTCCACGAGGTACAAAGTGTAAACTCAATACACACATACAACATACAATACAATATCCTCACGATATAATAATAATATATAGAATTAATACGACAACAGAGTCTTTGAAATACATTTACAACAAATAAAGTTTTCAATTCGTTTCACATTGTATTGTAAAGGGCATGCTTTAAGTAGGAATACAACAAACACACGAGCATTGAACTTGTCTCTTACAAGTCGTAAGCTCATTAGAAAGTACTTGAAGTTGTGCGAGCGAGAATAAGTATCAACAAACTTAACGTTTTTTGCAGATTTTCTTTATTTTTGTTGATGTATGGAGAATCCGCTTAGGTGCACTTCACAATCTCATATATATAGTTATTCCAATTCTATATAAATAAAAATGAAATTCCGTTCGTTAGTCTTGGTAAAACTCGAGAATAGATGAATTGATTTGGCTAATTTTGATCTTCAAGATCATCATCAATCTTCATCGAAGATGAAGCTTGCAGGGTCAGCTCGTAATAAATTATTTTTAACTATTGATAGTCTTTTGACAGGACTATGCTTACCTATAAGGAATATATTTTTATGTAGTTAAAGTATTAATTGTATGTCTTATTGTAGTAACGAATTAAATTTGTGTCTCTCTTCCATTCCAGGTGCCGTCCTAACATTTTACGCATTCAGTTTGGCTATCGGCTCTCTGTTCTTATCGAATGGTGTAGAAACTTACGTGTCTATGATCCAAAGCCTTAACCTTGGCTACTTCAGTATCCTCATTGTCAAACTGATTCTTGGTTTTCCTTTCGCCTACCATTACTTCAATGCTATGCGCTACATTATATGGAACACAGGGAGAATGTTGGACATAAAGATAGTTTACCAAACCGCCAAGCAGGCTGCCTTAGCTGCTGTAGTACTAACAGTATTATTTGCATTAATATAATAATTTTAAATACAAACATGTTCAAATATTACATGATATTCACTTTATAGAGTAACTTATTGTTTAAATATTGCGACAATTCGGTTTGTTTACTTTTAAGGCAAGCTTTTTAGGCTGCCTAACATGTCAATAAACTGTATCAATACTGTCGTCCATCAAAGATTTGTTTGCTAACAGATGGCAAAATAAATATGAAAAATACGCTGAAATGAAATATATTGGGCATTTTGTCAAAGAGCGATCTTATATTTCTGCGTATGTGAAATATTTGCTGCCATTGCGTTGGTGCACCACAGAGTCAGTCATTCTGTTTACATACCTTTGGCGTGGTCTCAGCCAGTGCGCATTGCTCGGACGGGGGTCAAACAGTAGTTATTGCCGATATCCGAATGAAATAATCCCCTTTGCCCCCAGGCTAAAAATGTAAAAAGCAATATTTTTCATACGAATGTTGGATTTTCAGTAACCTTTCGATAAAAAGACTGCAGATTTTACTATATACTTTGTAAGTTGCACACACATGTAGCTTCACAGACTAAAAAACAGTGATTTCATGATTTCCATTGCTAATACTACGTTAGTCCTTTAAGTGATTTGAGAAAATCAAATGAAATTCATTAGCAAACATTATTTTATATTCTTTCTTCAATTTGTAATACTATCATGGTGATGACGGTCAGTTTGATTAATAATTGAGTATTGTAATGTTATGATTTTGTCCACAATTTGCATGTTGATAGATGCAGGTCATGAAAATATAGGAATATGGTAAGATATGTAAACAGCATTAACTGATTATTGAATAGAGACATTGTGTTATTGATATTCATATAATTGTGCTTGTGATTGTGTATTAGATACGAGAAATTTTTTGGTATGTCGGTTTTGTTGTCTTTCAAGTTGTTTTTAATATGAATTCTGTGGCCAAGATGATGATGGATGCAGATGACTTTCATTTATTCTGTTATCATTTATATACTATCATCATTATTTTGTCGTAATATTTAAACAAATATACGAATTTGTATACCTTCAAATTTTTTATATCCCTTACTGAGCTTAAACGTCGAAATTTTTAGGAATCAATGTTTAGTTGTAATTATAATTATTTCTTGTATTATAGAAATATTTTATGTAACATATAAAAACTAAATTGAAATTATATTGCATTGAAAAAGCATTCTTATGTCGAAGATATATAAGATTGACATTACTCTGTAAACTGAAACAACAGTAAAATAAAAATGTCCTAAGAATGTAAATTATTAGCAAATTTGTTTAAGCTTCTATGTTTGTTAATTCAGTACTTTATTTTGTGATATTTATGAAGAATTGTATTTTAATTTGTTACTTATTGCTTTTTATTAAATTATATTGTGATTTATATTCATACTTGTTGTATTACTCTTTAAAAGGGTAATCGCTGAAATTCACGTAGAATTTAAAAAATAATTTTAGACGATCGTTGATATTAATTACTTTTTAGGCGATTTATGGTTACAAAAGGTTAATTCTGGCAGTCTAATAAATCCATAATAACGACTGCATGGTTGGTGCGGTGGCTGGGTAATCGACTGCCGCATAACGTGTAGAGAATACGACCCCCGCAAGAGAGACTCATTGTGTGATCCTCAAATTGTTTTTCCAGGTGTGAGTGTAATGTACGTTGTACGTTGTAAACGCACCCCATGATACAGGAGAACATCCTAGTATCAGGCAACGTTAAAAAAATAATGTCAATTAGTAATTGATATTATATAAGTGTCCACTCCCGTTCCCCAATCTCCCCAATTCCTCAATCCCCAACGATCCTCAAACTCCTAATCCCAGGCGTCCATGGGCCACCCCGATTGCTTACCATCAGGTGATCCGTCTGGTAGTTTACAGGCTTATACCATAAAAAAATAAGCCATTTATTTATTGGTTAATTTCGATTACACCCACGATCATTTTAATTTAATTACTATACCAACATCTCCAAATAAAAAATTGTGTATTGACATGGAAAATGGCCCTAATTTTGCTAACTCTAACGAGCGTAGAAGTCCAGTGTCCAGACAATGTCGATAATAGCTATGAAAAAAATAATTGTAGAAATGTAAACTATATTTTTTTTATGGAATAGGAGGCAAAGGAGCAGGCGGATCACCTGATGGTAAGCAATCAGTGCCGCCCATGGACACCCGCAATACCAGAGGAGTCGACAACAACAACACTGTTTATAGTGCAGATAAAGCAAAATGTAAAAAAATCTAAGCCCGGATTTGTTGTGATGGACCCAGACCCGGCACAAACGAAAAGTATGGTGATGCGCACTTTTTGTGGCTCTAGAAAATGCATACTCGAATTCTATTCACCCCGTTTTACCGTTAACTACTTTCCTTTCAACCTTTTTCTTAATAATAAACTTAGAATAGTTATGAACAGTCGTGACATCTATTGTGGAGCATAGTAAATAATAGTAGTTGTTGAAGAACGCATAGATGTCGTTGTAAGAAAAGCAATCAACGTTAACGTCATCTATGCGTTTTCAGTGTAACTAGTTGCATTCGAATTAAATGTAGTTCTCCTTGTCTCTGTAAACGCAGAGACGTTGCAAGCGGTGCCATCTATGACATTTTCTACGAACTATCTACGAAGTTGCATCAAAAACCGTGCACTACGTAAATGTAGGTCATGAATGAAGACTATCTGGAATTACTGTGCCTAGATGGCGCTAGTGTGCTGTCTGCTATTAAAGTCGTCGACAAAATGTCTAGGGTTGGAAAGTCGTCTCACTCGGGTAGGAGGTCAGTAGATAATATTTCCTCCTCAAAAAAAAAGACGGTATGTGAAGTTATTGATGAAAATAGACCTTAGATTAAATGATATTGGATATGTCCTAAAAATGTATGTGACTTTGTATTTGACATTTTCATTGGCATCGTTTGGTATGCTAACAAGGAGAGTACTTTGCTGTACCATATTTTTGTAGTTATCAGTGATTGGCTGAATCAGACTTATATTGGACATGGCATCATTATTTTTATTATGTTTTTCGGCTTGCTCGCGTAAATTTGACGAGGAACCCGACTAGTTGCAAGCTATATTAATTAAGCTATATTATTTAATTTAGTGTGTCTCACGAGAGTCATAATATAAATAATTATTTATTGTTAAAGTAGCTTTTCAGTATAAAGTTGGCAATCAAGGCGAACTGAGAATAAATAATGAAATAATTTATAAGTTGGTCTTATATGGGGCTGCTACGAAAATTGGAGCAGATAATCGATAGCCAGCACTCGGTTACTGGGATAAAATCTCTTTCCTTATTTGTGTGCGCTACTTCCTCGTTTGTATAAGATTAATTTCAATGTTAGGCTGAGGACACAATAGGCTTTTTCTCTCTAGCAGTTAGCAGCGGAATTACTTGCGGTATTTTCAACCTTAAGTCTTAAGAGTTATAAGGTACAAATGTGATATATTTTCCATTACCATTTTATATTACTATCACTGTTATGAAATCAGTCGCATGCCTTATCGCGAGAATAATATCATCACCGAGAAGTTTTTGCTCTAATTTTTAGAGCAAAATAATTATTAAACCGTAACACATTTGTAACTTATTACTGGTGCAATAGATTTGTAACTACAGTCCTTTTCTGTACTGAACCTATTATTTCAAACCATCTATTGCCAGTGACTTAGTACGGAGTCTGGAATTGTGCCCGGTATATAGCAATAGGCTCACCCCCTATAACATGGGACTTATAACATAAAAAAGGTAGTGAAAAGTGGGTATTACATTGTATAGTGGCATTTAAGTGCCTTAATGTTCAGGTGCACAGGCAGGGTAGGCAGGGGTCTGCCTGCCCCATCAAGGATAAAAGACGTGATCTTATGTCGATCTATATTTATTTATGACATGTCCAAATTTTATGTCGATACCTTCAGCCGCTCGTCACACATATATATCCTCACAAACTTCATTTTCTTCTTTCGCATTTATCTTTTCGTATTTAAATGGATTTGCTGTGTACAATGTTGTTCTTTAATGGGCGTCTGTAATATTGTATTACTTGCGATTTTCCTTGTTTTCAAGCAGAGTTATATTCATCCCGTAAGGGATACTCTTGGGCTACTACTGTTTATGTTCTCATATTACCAATTAATGCACTAACTGTCGATGTAAATGTATACAAATAGTTTCCTGTTATTTTTCCGCACTTTTCCACGATAACATCCATACTTTATATTATAATATTAGTTATTATAATAGGTAGAAAATGTGTCTGTTTGTTCATAGTTTACGACAAAACAGAACTACAAATTATCGTAGTTTTTTGTTTGAGATAGGTAAAGGGATGGAAAGTAGCATGGACTACTTTTATTCTCTTTCTATCGTCCTACTTTCCTAAAATAGGCGATGGAAGTTTGTATGGAGTCTTTTTGTTGTTTCCAAGCTAGGAAATTAAAAAAAGGTATGCGGGCTATTTTTGAGTAACAAAAGCAGCATTGTTTTTGTTAATCTTCGCCCAACCTTTAAAATAGGTGGAGCGAAGCTGCGGGAAAAGCAAGTCTAGTCTAATTTTTGGAAAGTACAAAATGAGTTCATTGTGATTTTATTCTGATTGCGTCTTTCGCTAATTTTCAAGTAGTATTTGACGCATCCATATTTTACGTCTTGTATCAGAAAGGTACATTATAAATATGATGAGTCAACAACGAGATATTAAGATATTAGCAACAAATCGAGTTGTGCTACGGTGGTTGTAAACGTGCTACGATTCTTGCTACGCGACTCGTAGTATGCTACGCCGTAACTTTGTAGCGTTCGTAGCCCGATAGCCCTGAGCCATATTTTATTTTAGCTTTACTTCGCTGTATTGTTGTTATATTTAGCTTCCGATAGACGTTTTATATAAACGTCTTATAAAGTATGAGTTTTATTACAGCAAATTACTTGGTATTATTATTTCTTGTCCTAAGCGTAAGAATAGTAAATTATTCATTATTATTGT